ACTGAACGGTATACTCATTCTGAATCGGAAAACCGCTCAGATTTTTTGTATATTTTGTTGTTATAATAATATGATAACAACTGTCTATGTATTCTTTGGAATTGATTAAACCAACAATCTGTTTGTGGATAAACGGTTTCTCTGGAGTTACTCCGTTTGCACTCCAGCATTAATCTGATACGCCAAAAAGCGATACCCGAACGGTTGGAGTGCGAATGGAGTCACTCGGAGTGAGCAAGCCGAACCCAGCTGATGTCGACGTCGAGTACCGCGCTACGCTACTAAAGTCTGGTTTTTTTTAAAGATAAAAGTCAAAATGACATTAAGTTGGCAATACAACGTAAAATTGTCAATGCTTTCAAATTTTAATGTAGAAAAGGCTTGAGTTGCCAATATAGCTACTAAATTTTTGACTTGGGGAATTTTCTTTAAAAAAAAAAACAGGCTTTACAATAGAAATGTCCTCTCAACGTCATTAAATATTTAGCGGTAGAAAATTATATCAAAACGGTAGATCTGCCGCTAAAACGGTAGACCTGGCAACACTGATAGGGGGTAACTAGACTGGACTTTCCAATGTTGAAATATCATGTCGTATTTTAGCGCCCTCTGCCGACTGAGAGTGAACTATAAATACTAGTTCGGTCATTCTCCGAAAGATGGCACTTTGGTATTGATAGTTCACTGTAATTTTTACAGTAACTCAACAACCCTCTTCAAACAGTGGCGACAATGGAGGTCCCGCCGTCATATTCTTGCAAATTTTGGATATGAATAATAGGATATAAATGAATATCCCCTCGGATATCCATATCTATCATAAAAAATTAAAAATACCATATCTGAATTTTAGCGAGAAATACGTTACCTTGAAATTTTGATGATAGATATCCATTTTTATCCAATAACTCCTATGTATTCATAATTGAAATTTCAAAAATATGGCGGCAGGCCCTCTATTCATCGTTGTCACTGTTTGCAGAGGTTTGTCGAGTCCCTAGTTTTTCACAAGAATGAACACAATCAAAAGACAATTTGAATTTAAATTTTGAAAGACCAAATGACAATGACATGATGAAGGATTTGGTATTTGTTTCATTTTCACTTTCATAACCTCAGTTTTATAAGACCAGCAGAGCCATCAGCGGTCACGAGTGAACTAAAAAAGCTGGCTCAAAGCGGTAATATGAGTGCGCGGACCATGGTACTAAAACAGGGTGCTAACTTAACACTTCATCTATTTTTCCTAATCTTTCTGAGGCGAAACTGAAAGAAAGGTCTATAAACCTAGCAGTCCCAAAGTGGAAAAAAACTTCGGGAACTAAAGCTACATCCTCAATCAATCTGGTAGCGAAGTGGCACTTCGGCACGCGTGCTAGGAAATTGATACCCATCCTCAATGCTGTCAATTTTCAGTCTGCTGTGCGTGTAGTACGGTCATGAACCGTGCGTTCGGTATTTTGAGCTGAGTTCTCCGAGAATAAATTTACCGTTCGTTTATTTAAAAAGTGTACTCGGTGCAGGCTCATTCACGTTCGTTTATTGAAGTTTCGAGCCCTCTGATACAGCGTTTAACTGCTCTGTGTGCTCGCTGGTCACGTGATTACAGCTCCGCTCTGCAAGCTTTGCTCTTTGAGCAAAATACCGAACGCAAGGATAACCTGAACTATTTTTTTATCATACTCCGCTTGACAGAAGTCGGCACGCATCAAAAAAGCTTGCAGCTTGCAAGCTTGCACTTTAGAGTCGGCGTGCATGCTAGTACGGAATTGAATTAAGGATGCCAACGTTAAACAACATTATCCTAGCATGCGTGCCGAAGAGCCACTTCGCTACCAGATTGATTGAGGATGCGCCTTTAAAGTGTGTTTTTTTTTAAAGATAATTCCCCAAGTCAAAAATTTAGTAACTATGTTGGCAAAACAGGCCTTTTCTACATAAAAAATCTGAAAGCATTAACAATTTTATGTTGTATTGCCAACATAATGTCATTTTGACTTAAATCTTTAAAAAAAAAAAACAGACTTTATATAATAATTAGCTGCTTTTTAGGTGCTAATTAGGGCCTCTAATAAAAAAGTAGGTGCTCTTTTAGTTTTTGAGAAAATTAAAAAAAACTGAGGGACTGCTAGGTTTATGATAGGGCTCGGAATTATATTCGAATAATTCGAATATTCGACTATTCTAAATTCGACTTTTTTGTTAGTTAGCAAATTCGACTATTCGACTATTTGAATATTCGACTATTCGAATATTCGAATTATTCAGCTATTCGAATAAAATACCAAACGACTATTCGAATACTTGAAGGTGCTTTTTAGTGCTAATTAGGGTTTCTAATTGAAAATTAGGTGCTCCTTCAGTTTTTGAAAAAATCAAAAAAAAAAAACTAAGGGTCTGCTAGGTTTATGAAAGCTAGCAATACCCTATAGTAAAAAATATGGTTTCAATTTTTTTTCGACTATTTAGGAGCACCTAAAAAGCACCTAATTCTGATACAAAAGAAAAAATCGGAAAAATATTTTTTAATTTTTTTACAACTGCTAGCTTTCATAAACGGTGCACGTAATTTTTAATTAGAGGCCCTAATTAGCACCTAATTATTATATAAACCCCGAAGTTTTTTTCCATTCTGACACACCACCAAGTAAACGTAAGGCCAGCAGTCCCCTAAAAATGAAAAAAAATCTGTAACTCAGTTAATAATCAATCGATTTAATTTTTTCTTCAACTATTTAGGAGCACCTAAAAAGCACCTAACTTTGATACAAAAGAAAAATTTGAGAACGTCCCTCAGTTTTTTTTGATTTTCTCAAAAACTGAAGGAGCATCTAATTTTTAATTAGAGGCCCTAATTAGCACCTAAAAAGCACCTAATTATTAAATAGACTTTGAAGTGTTTTTCCATTCTGACACACCACAAAGTAAACATAAAGTCAGAAGAAAAATTTGAAAAAAATATGTCTCACTATAGAGGACTGCTAGCTTCCATAAACCTAGCAGTCCCTTAGTTTTTTTTGATTTTCTCAAAAACTAAAGGAGCACCTAATTTTTAATTAGAGGCCCTAATTAGCACCTAAAAAGCACCTAATTATTATATAGTTCCCGAAGTTTTTCTCCACCTTGGGACTGCTAAGTTTATAGACCTCTGAAAGAAGGTGTTTTTATCGGACCCCAAATCAAAAAAATGTTGAAGGATGACATATTTGAAAACAGTCTTTCGGATACTGAGGGGTCTGCTTGGAATTCGCTAAAACTTGTTATTCAAGAATTCTTAGGCAACAAAAAAAAAATGAAAATCACCGGCAGTTAGTTGCTGTTTTAGTGAATAATTTTCAACGCATGGGAGTAAACATGTCTCTGAAAATCCACTTCTTTCACTCCCACCTCGATTTCTTCCCTGAAAACCTCAGAGAAGTCAGCGACGAACATGGAGAGAGGATTTTTTGAGAAAAATTATCAAGGATACTGGGACCAGGCCATGTTAGGTGATTATTGCTGCTCCATTATAAGAGACACAAACATAAACAAATACAAGAAAAAAGCTTAGGCAATTCAGTTTTAATGTGTTGAAATATTTTTGTAGACATTTCTTGTGCAAATCAAAAACAGTAAATTTAGGAAACATGAAGTGTTGGATTCTTTTCATAATTTCTGTGAAACTAAGGGCACCCTAATTATTAAGAAAAACACTTTTCATTTCAAGGCCAGTAATCATGTAGGTAAACTAGTAAAATTAGAACACTCAACCCTTGACTTAACCGGAACAAACTAGAATGAGTATGCATGCAATTCTTGAGATTTTAGAAAATATCTAAAAATACATTAAAAGTGGGGTTGGAAGTTATAAAAATTTACAAGTACTTCCATGTATTCCCAAATTATTTCCATGTACTTCCAAATATACTCCCATAGTATTTCCAAGTATTCCCGCCAGAGTATTATCAAGTATTCCTAGGTATTCCCAAAATATTCCTAGCAAAAGGTACAATGATTTCCATGAGTGATTTTCCCCTTGGATCGATTTTACTATGTTTAACTTTTGAAAATGTCACTTAGAAACTAGCTCTCAACTAATTTAATATACACCTTGGTTAAGGTAGCCCAAGAGGTAGCCCGTGCATTAGAATTTGTCCAGTATGCAGGTGGATTAGTAGAGATAGCATCTAATCCACCTGCAAGCTAATGTATGGCATGGGCCTGAATATGTGGTTAAGTTACCAATAGCTTAGCTTGAGGCTTAGCTATTTTTTCAGAGGTAGTTGAGTTAATAGGGTAATTTAACTACTTACAATATATAGTAGCTTGTAACTTGTAGCGTAGCTAGCTACTTTTTTCAATTAGCTTGCCCAGCTCTGGCTGGCTTTTAAGTTTAGAGACAAAATAATACAATCATTAATTAGTTAATATTAATTAATAATTAGGCAAGTAATTTTAGTGGCACGCAATTATTAACAAAGAAATCTGAGTGAAGCTTTCAGTTTAGTTTAAATGATCATCATTTTCTAGTCATAGGAATACTAAGAGAGTCTATTAGGACTTGAGAGTGAAATGATTATGGTTTATGCTTTGATATTGTTTCAAAACTCTCTAGTACTTCTAGAACAGATGATTTATTGATGAATATCTCTTCCTGGAATGAAATGTATGTCTGAAGCTTCTCTAGAGCCTGCATGCAACAAATTCTACAAGCCTGAATAGCCTTGTAAATGCCTCTACCACTCTACCTTCCATATCGGTTTTTTTTATATCCGATGTTAGAATTAGTGCTTCACTCAAACACAAAGCTTGAGAAATTGCAGCAAACAAGCTCTTTTGAGAGTCTCAAGCTCTTTAGACCTTCTAACAATATGAATTTGCTGTTCAATGCTTTTCTAGCCACAAGCTGTTATTTTGCTTGTTATTTTTATTTTCCTGACAATTAGGAATCTAGCATGTTTTGAGTAATTTATTTCAATTATTCCCATCTTAGATACTCACCTAAATTCAAACATTCTTACCTTTTTGGCTTTGCAAATATCGAAAAACATCTTAGGATGAAACCTACATTCTGCTGCAACTTGGCTATCAAACTCTGGACCCAACGGTGTTTTCAGGGCCATAAATTTGCCCATTATTAAATGGTCAGCTTTTCTCGGACAATGAAGCCACCTATTGGGGATGGGGCCAGGGTTTTTTCTTTGCCTACTCATTTTTTTTTTTTTGTTTTTGGTTGGTTTAGTTTGAGGTTAAGGTAACAGATTGATGGGGAAAGTGAAGGCTATGAATGGTTATTGGTGTACGACTTATTCCATTTTGTTACTGGGAATTCTTTATGTTAGGAAATTGTTAATTAATTAACAAAGATACCGTTATTTGTTGGGATTTTTTGATAAAAAAACCAACACACAGAACTTTTTCAAGTTTTGTTTTGACACAACTATCACTCACTACTGCCACTTTTCATGTCAGTGTCATCTTTCTGTCTTCTGGCAAATCTATGGTGGCCCCAGTGTTGCCAGAGTTTCTCGACGACATTCCTTCAACTGATTGGCTAAAACAATGCTAAAACCCTTCATATCCTTCAAAACAGTGAAACAGTGGCGTGTGGCCGGCGCAGCGAAATAATTTACCAGAAAAAAAAAACATTAACATGCAACGGTTTCCGGTTTGGCGGTGGCGTATATCTATTTAAATATGATTCTCAATATTATGACTCGCTCTTTTCGCACTAATCCCAGTGCTTATTATCACTTAAAACCGCTAAAATCTATTAAACATCCACTTGAATGAGGACACAGGGAACCACCAAAACAAATTATGAGTCATACTTGGAGGCTCAAAATGGCCGTTTCCGTCCCTCCGTTGTCTGTAGTGACAGATAGAAAACGCTCCTTCCTGTGGTTTTATATTCAAATACTAAGGATTGCTTATAGGCCTCGTTTTTGGTAATAGGCGCCATATGCCCATATTGGTTTGTCACCATTTCCGACGTCATAACTAAGTCGTCAGTTGTTTGCACTAGCGGTCGTAATTTAGAATTTAAAGGACCCCGCACACATCTTATGGGATTTTGGTGCCCGGTCAAATTTGATGAAAATTTGGTATGTTGTTCTTCTTGAGGTCCTGATCAAATGTGTCCATGGGCACAAATAAATCCTATGATTAGTTTCTGAGATACAGGGTGTTTAAAAAGTTGAATAGTCGATTTAAATTATGTGCTAGCCAAACTTGAAACTATTTCTTAGAGCTTCTACGAAAATGAGTAAGACGAAACAATATTTTTAAATAAATAAATGCTTGCACACATAATACATCTAAACGATTTTGTATACAGGGTGTATCGTACGTTTCTATTTCAATTTTTTTGGTCTAATCATTTCTGAAATACTTACCAGTTAGATGCATATAAAAAACTTAAATATTTGGCTTTCCCAGAACAGTACCCTGAAATAGGGACACCCGTGCAGCAGAATATGGCAAATGCTGCTCGCTTCAATAATAAAAGCAGAGAGCCGTAAAGGCTGAAAAACTGCTACGACATGGACTTTGAAATAAATTCTAGGTATGACTTAATAATCAATGAAATAAAAAAAATCACATTTATAAATGATATAGCATATTTTCTTACCAGCTGCTACAAAATATTATTTAAACAGAAAAATATAACAGGTCCAGGTCTTTACACACTAAAACTAAGGCTTTTTTCACCTGGAGAAGTTACTAGAACCAGTAATCTGAATCTGAAAGCCAAATGCGGATTGAAGTTAAAACAACTACATTCTTCAGGTCAGAAAGCATTTAACTAAACTACTTGATACAGTCATAAGGCCAATGAGGCCGACCACTAAATATTTAAATGCGAAAAAGCAAATATCAATGTAATATAATAAGTTATCACACAAAATGTCACTTAAGTAAAGTAATATTAAAGTCCGGTAGCTTTCGGCCGTAGAGTAGACCGCCAGACCAAGAGAAGTCTGGGGTAACGGCAACGGTGTGAAGCCTAGAAACAACTTAGACATACCTACATTATTGAAGAAATGAAGTGATGGGTAAGTTGGGGTTGTCCAATCACTGTTAGTGGACAATGTCTGGCAAATCATTTACATCTGCTGCTGCAGCATCCCTAACATTCCTAAACATATCTCCGCTTGGAAAATTAATAACCGGTTGATGGCGACCATAGCTTAGAAATCATACAGTAGCAACGTGACAGCACATTCCAACTATTCTGGCACCAGATCGACATGAACAATAATATCCCAATATTAAATTCCTTTCTGTGTCGTAATTGATGAAAAGCTGATACTTAACAGAATTCCTGTGCCGAGATTTCATTCTTATTCGTAACAAATTAGCATCGTTTAATCTCGTATCGTATTCAAAACAATGATTCCCATCATTTTGGTTATTGTCTTGAATGTATGATGGGGCTAAACGCAATTGAAAAACTCCGAAAGTTAGATGTTGAAGTTCTTCTATGGGTAATATTGGAAAATCGAGCTGATCTTCAGTAAGAGGTTCCCATATTCCATGCCTCCGAAGTAATCCTTCTCTTTCCAGTCTTTCCTGCAATATGTTGCGCTGTTGTGACTTCAATAACATTTCATGGGCCAAATTCTCTGTCGCTTCTTCCATAACAATTGAGGGATGATATTTGTTTATTAAAGCACATGCTATCTTGATGTAATCGCGAATGTGTGGAATACTAGTATTAGGAATTTGGTCTCTGAATATTTTGAATATTGATTTCAGATGTCCATTTCGGGATTCGCCTATACATCTGCATTTTGTTATGAGCCGAGACTGATTTGCTTCAGCTGTTGTTGGCTGAGATCTTCGGCCAAGATGAGCGGGCATTTCAACTCGAATTCCAATGTCTTGTAAGAATTCCTGAGCATCTCTGTAACCACGATCAAGTACAAATATGTCTCCCTCTTGAAAATAATTTCGAAGTTGTCCAAGATCATTTTTATATTCGTGGGTTAACATTCTTGTATCGTTGTGAGGAGAATTTGAAAAGTATGGCCCATGCACATCTATTATGTAACCATCTGGGGAAACAATTAAAGCCGGCTTCAAGAGATGATATGATTTATGTACCAAAAATGAGTTCCTAAGAACCTGAAAGTTTCTACTCTTTTGAATTTTCAAGTACGTTCCGTCAATAAAAGCAATAGCTTTTGGTAGCTGAGGCTCCGGATTATATAGTTGTTTAGCGAAAGAGGTCGCACATGTTCTCTAATGAATCGTTCGCGTGACATATGATCATATCCTAAGTTTTGATTCAGAAAGGTTGCTAGAGAACTTGTAACTTTTGCAATGACGAGACTCGTTGTTTGTCTACTTGGATAGGAAAACATAGCAGTTAAAAAATTATGTGATAAACCTTGTTTAAGTTTACATAAAAAACATATAAGATCTTTTTTTGTTATTACTTTTGACCTGTTATATTATATGACCACATTATTACAACTATCAAAAACAGCGTTGAACTGTTCTTTTGTTGATGAGGTCAAAGATTTCATCTCATCATCTGTATAATTACTTTCATCATCAAACTTGTTAAAATCATTTACGTTGTTCCAAGTTGAGAAATGAAAGCATTTAATTCGGAACCTTTAAGCAAAGTCTATCTTTAAGTGTATAAGGCCTCGTGATACCCTTGAAGCCATTTTGCAAGGAAGCTACCACCATCAGTTGATCAATAGTCAAATGACCGGGATATATTCTGGAACCATCAGGAATAAAAATGTCTTTTCTTACAAATACGGCAACTCTGGCTTTTAAAGAAATACGCTGGAAAGCCTCTTGATTACAAACAATACAGTTAGGACGGCGGTTAAAAAGTACCTTGAAAACAGTTGGATCGGGATCCTCAGCATAAACTTGAAGCTCTTCTAAAATACTTTGATAGCACGTGAACCATATTCGAGAGTTATCATTCGGGTCCTCGTCCAAAAGTTGCAGTTCTTGCCTCCGTTTAACCGCCGTGTTTCTAAGCTCATCATTTTGGACAAAAGGAATTACTTGTCGAGGAGCATTGACAGCACCGGCGTATACAAGGGGGGGGGGTAATGGGGGTAATTACCCCCCCCCCCCAAGATCGTTGCGATGGACGAAAAAAATTTACCCTACACCTTAAAAATAAATCTATTTTTTTTATTTTTACTTTTCAGCAATTGGCCCTAACTTGTTTTCTAGTTTGCGCAGTGTCCGCACTGCCCGCATGCCATCTATAGCGAATTCTATTCAAAGGGATAGTGCACACTGACTATTCCTATCTTTCTCTACTAGCTTGCATAAGAAAGAGATAAATACATTTTTTGTATTAGTTACACCAATAGAAATCTCTATAATTAAAAAGTTTCAGGCGAATCTCATAGCGAATTAATTCCTTTGGTAAAATTAGTGCAAAAAAAAATATTTTTATCTCTTTCTTATACAAGCTGGTAGAATAAGATACGAATACACTCAGTGCGCACTAACCCTTATTCCAATGGAATTCGCTATCAGAGTTCGCTTTCGTTATTTGTTGGTAGTACAGAATATCTTTAACTAACAAGTGCGGAAAATGATTTTCTCCGCACGAGTCTGTCGTTCACCGAAAGACGCGTAGGAAGGTACAAAAGTCTTTCTACAAACGTGCGGAAATAAGTATGTACAGGGTGTTTCAAATTCGAGCCACATCATTGAGATCTCCGAAACGGTAAGATATACAGGGTTGGTTAAATTGGGGCAAAGTTGCGTAATTTGATGCTTAATAAAATGTCGCTTTGATATTTAGGATATTCCAAATACTTCCGGAAAAAACCGAAATTTTGCAAAACTGTTTTTATTTTTTCCTGACTTTATTTGAAGTGATATTCCAAAAAAAATATCACTTCATTATGGCCACTTTTTCTCTCCTACAAGATGCTACCATCAAATTTAAAATCTGACGTTTTGTCTTTGGGCCACCATCATCAACTCTATTTTTTTAAATACGACCCTGGATTTTTTATTTCAGATTTTTAGTGCTTCTGATGTCCCAAAACCTATGACGTATCGCATTTATTCGAAAAAATATTTTTTCTACTTTTTAGTAATTTCCTACCAAAATTCTCTTCTCTGTCTCTCTCTAACACATTTGGTTCTTATGGAAAGTACCAAAAATATAATTTTTTTGAATAAATGCAACCAACACATGATTTTGTGACATCAGAAGCTTATGAAATCTAAAATAAAAAATAGGGATCCGTATTTAAAAAAATGAAGTTGATGATGGTGGCCCAAAGACAAAACGTCAGATTTCAAATTTGATGGTAGTATCTTGTAGGGGAAAAAAGGTGGCGATGATGAAGTGACATTTATTTTGGAATATCACTTCAAAATAAAGTCTGAGAAAAATAATAACAATTTTGCAAAATTTCGGAAGTATTCGGAAAATCCTGAATATCAAAGCGGCATTTTCTTAAGCATCCAAAAACGCAACTTTGCCCCAATTTAACCAACCCTGTATATCTTACCGTTCGCGAGATTTCAATGATGTGGCTTGAATCTGAAACACCCTGTACATATACCTACATAATTTGTGATAATTTATTGATTTTTTTTTGACAGCCGTTTTCCGCACCGATATCTGTGCGGAAAAAATTTCGCCGCACCGTGCGAGAAAATCGATTTTCCGCACTGTTCAATTTTCCTCACTCTCGTAGAAAAAAAATGTTTCGAAGGTCGAAGTGAACGTTTTTGGGCGTGGCACCCGGAAAAAATGGGCTGATTACCCCCCCCCCAGACGCATGGGCTGGATACGCCGGTGATTGACAGATTCACAAACATAACAATTGAATCTGAGACGAAATGCCATTTCAAATACCGTTAAGAGCACTTATTTTAATATAATTATATATTAGTATATGTATATATTAGTATAAATAAATAAAAATATGTATATAAAAATAAATAATTCAACAAAGAAGAAATAATTGATCGAATGCACAAAATATCAGTAACCGTCAATATTCTGACTGTTGCCATCATCACCTAGCAACCAAATAATCGAATGAAATATTTGACAGCATGGCTAACTGGAATAAAGCAGAAGTTTTTTTTATAAAGCAGAACATTTCATCAAGAACATAATGTGAGAAATGCCAAATAATAAGTAAAGTTTTTCATATGCAGTCAACTTTCGAGTATAGACACCCTGAATTTGGCAAAGTTAAATATAGCTGGAAAACTGCAACGATCTTTCAAATATTCGTAATTTTGTATAAATAGAAATAGAAAAATATTTCAAAATTATTTATTGCATTAAATCATTTTAAAAGTACCTACCTATTCCGAAACGAATTGAGTCAAAAAAATTGAAATAAAAACGTGTGATACACCCTGTATACAAAATCGTTTAAATATATTATGTGTGGAAGCATTTATTTATGTAAAAGTACGTATTGTTCCGCCTTAACCATTTTTGCAAAACCCCAAAAAATAGCTTGGTTAGCACATAATTTAAATCGACTATTCAACTTTTTAAACACCCTGTATCTCAGAAACTAATCATAAGATTCATTTGTGCCCATGGACACATTTGATCAGGACCTCAAGAAGAACAACATACCAAAATTTCATCAAATTTGACCGGGCACCAAAATCCCATAAGATGTGTGCGGGGTCCTTTATGATGGAAAATGTTCAATTTGATTAACATAATAGGCAAAGAGGAAGATGAAAACGAAATCTCAAAAAGAATTGTTTTAGAATGTTAATTAATATAGTAAAACCAAGTATTTGGTATTTATAAAGCAAAAGCCCGCGGAATCATAACCTGTAGTGCAAACAGCCTACGTCAAGGCGAGAAAGGACATGCTGCCTACGTATAACAACCGGTGATTTGGCGTGGTGGGTGGCTTCAGATTTGTTCCACACAGGTCTCATGAGGATAGGCTATGCTAGTAGTGTGTATTATCCTTGACTCACATGGACGAAATTCATTTATTGAATTTTGAACCTAAAGCCTGGGCCACAGCACACTAACTGACGCAGTGGCGTAACGAAAATTGGCGTTTCGTATTTTTTCTCATGCAACTGTAATTCTTTTATTAAAAATTAAATTTGTTGGTAAAATGAGTCGAATATTTACTAAATATACAATTTGCCTCAAAATCCTTCAAATTTGAATAAAAACCTTCAATCCTTCAGTAGTCAAAATTTTACATCAAAACTCTTCATATTGAAGGAAATCCTTAAATTCTGGCAACACTGCCAGAGGCGTGCTTCAACTCATTTGCCTAGAAATATTATTTAAAAAAAAATCATGAAAAAATGAAAGTTTATTAATCTAATTTTTCCAAAGCTACACAATGAAACTAATAACAATTATTAATGATTAACAACAGAAAAATGGAAAACGAATAACAATTAACAAAAACCTTAAATTTTAAAAACAACTAGGTACCATTTAGGTATTAATTAGTAAATATTTCAATAAACTGGCAGTTTACTGGCAACTTCGATAGGGTTAGCCCTAGCAATTTCTAGAACTGAGATAATAGGATATTGGCTTATAGAGAAAATAATAGCCAAGCGAACTTTGCATTGTTCCAAAAGATATTTCCATTTCAAGGAAGCTTTTTCGTCGTCGGGCATTGAGCGGAAATCTTTGACCTATAAAAAATAACTAACAAATCAAATTACCAACAAAAAAAACAACACTTGCAATATAACCCAAAGCATTTTCCGCAGCTTGTCCGGTTAAACGGCAATTAGTCAAAGTTCCGGTATGATCGGAAAAAGAAACTCTGATGTCGAACGCCATGTCCGGTTCAACCGTTTCGTTTTCGAAAACAACCGGACATTCAGAATTTTCGCATCGGACATTTTTGATTGGCATTTTACAATGACCACTGAAACACACAAACATTAAAAAACTAATACTTAATTATTGCTTCTACTTCTAACCATTTAACAATGAGTATCGGAGACAACCCATCCAAATCCAACTTGGTAACAAACGCGTACAAAATAACCGTAAAAGACTTTTTCCCTCCCTCTTTGATTTCGTTGCAACTATTAATGCGATCATGAACTTGTCTTATACTCATGATCTCATCTATGGAACTACTGCTGCTCGGAATAGAAGTTACCATCTGCTCGATTAGATCAAAAGTCTCTATTGGCGCATTCTGAGCATATTCGAAAAGCGCTTTAGCTTCTTTACTGGCCGGATTTTCAGTAACAATAGTACGAGTAGTTGCTTTTCCCATGTAAGCGCGACCAAAATTCGACCAGTCGATTTTTAGATCGGTCATAAATAGAATAGTGCTTCTGGGTTTCCAAGAATTGGAGCTAAAATATATATTAATTTGAAAAAAATCAAGATGATAAAATATTATTTTTATTACCGATTGATTAAATCTGGCTCCCAGAGACTGACTTTTAGAGTAGGAGCAGTGTGATCGAATAGTTCAATTTCCCGAACCTGCAACATTTCGCCAGTTCTTGATTTTATGCTTCTTATTTGATTCACGCCTTTCACTGCTCCCAGAATATCAGCAACTATAAGATAATTGATGTCACTATTTTTTTGTCATAAAACTTAAGTATGTATTAACATTACATTCAATCGATCCGCCTCTATTATGGATATCGTGGATAGGGACAAACATTGCTGTTGGCTTAGTGGGGCAATGCAACAGGCGTAGGAAAGGTTCCGGATTGTGATGGTTCACAATGGCAGATTTATCGGACAGAGTTAATTTGTAGGGCGAGGTAACCATCGGGTGCCACTGTTCAAATTTATCGTCCAGTTTTCTTATTTGGACTTGCGGGTTAATAATTTCCACTGAAAAAAAAAAGATAAGCTCCAGGATATAAGCTTGCTGCTTCTCTAAACAGTTGCATTTTAGTAAACTAACTAAACCCGACACATGGAAAGTTTTGATGAATACATTATTAGAAAAAGTAACTTCCCTATCATAAGCTAAAGTCCAATATCACACTGCCATGAACAGAAGGCAGAAAAAAAAATCACCCTGGAGAGTTTAATGCGCCATCCAAATAGTTTTTGGATCCAAATCGATACCAAGAGACTGGAAATGAATTACGCAGAGTCGCAGACTACCATCCATGTAGATCGCGTTTAGAGTCGTTACAGCTTTGTTACAGCCTCTCAAGCACTGGTGGCCTTTCCAGATATTTTGTGCTTCTGATGGTTGGTGTCCAATATTTGTAAGCTTCTTTGGGTGGTAAAGTGCCCACCTCTTGGGGTGTTAGCCATACATCTTCAATGTATTAAAAGGGCATTCACAGATAAAAAATGGTCTGTAGTTTTTGTTGCTTGTTCGCAAGATCTGCAGTGGTCGTTGTCTGATTTGTCTATTATTTCCAGGGGATATTACACTACGCATTGCCCATTAAGCAGACAAACGACTGTTCTAATGTTCTGATGTTTGTCATGTTAAGAATTTATTCAGATCTCCTTGGGGATCTAAGATGGATATGAATCTTTTTACATATCTCAGAGTCTCAGAACCGAATGGATCTGCAATGAGCTAGCATGTTTGCTCACGGATACTTTTCCCCTCCCAAGCTAGCTGCGAATTCCACTTGATGGCTCCTAGAAGCTTTAGAACCGCTTGACTGTCAGACAGTAAGTAAAGGTGACTCTTCAAAGGCCTCTTCTAAGGAGCACTTTTGGACACAGATGCTTATGGCCAGTACCTGAGCTTGAAATATTTTGGGCGTTTTACTATAAGAGGAGTTTAAAGTTTGGTCCAGTTATTCCCAGACCAACTCGTTCCGTTAACTTTGCGTTCTTTTACAACCACTTCATATGGAATGTCAGAGTCAAGTGATGTTATCTGTTGGCTTACTTTGGCACTCATCTAGGAATGGTGAAGAGGAGGCATGCCTCCTAGCCCTAGCAGAGAATAATTTACGGCTGCGGTGGGGCAGGTTGACATAGACCCTGTTATTCTTAGATAGATTAGCCCTTTACTTAACACTGCTCTGTGCAGTAATTTGCTCAATCGATCTTTGGCCACCATACCAACGAGGCGTAGGTCAGGAAAGCATGTTAACAACTCGTGCAGCATGCAAAGCTATCCAAAAATTCCTACCTGGTCAGAAATTAAAATATGAAAAGTGTGGTTTATCCTACAATGTTATACACTACTCAAGTTCGAACCCGGTGACAAGTGATAACCATAATAGTCATGTATCCACTCGTTTAATTGATCTGGCAAAATCCAGCAGTGTCGTTTTAGTCACCTCACCTACAACCATAATATGCTGTTATCATGGAGTCGCCAAGTGGATCGTCAAAATCCAGAAAAATGTTTTTCATGGTAGTTACCAGACTTGCCAAAATCGTAAGAATAGCGTATCCAGGACATATTAGACACTTTAACAAGTCCAAAATTTCAAACGTATCCGTATCCGCATCGTGCAGACTAGATACAGTGATTTCGTTGCGTTTCGTTGTGCGCACCGTTACGGGCCAAGCCTCGTATCCGTATCCGAAAACGTATCTCAAACATTTGACACTATTAAGAGATATTCCTGTCAGTTATGTATGGCCATGCTTAAAGTTATTTTTAGGCGGTGAACGTAAGTCACTGCGTTTACGGATGCGGATACGGATACGTAGAAAAATTTGTTTGTGATAGTGTATTATCCATTCACAATCCGTAGTCCATAGGTAAAGGTAAATTTATCACCTTCCCCTATCAAATATCAATAGACAGGTGATAAATGTTATCTTTACCTTTGGACATCGGATTGTGAATGGATAATACACTATCACAAACAGGTTTCACTTAGCAGACTTTCACGCTTTGAATTTAGATTTATTAATGCGCATTTGTTTTGTATTTTCAAAGCTGGCCCAGTAACTCCTTTTAGTTCTTTTCAATATTTCTAGATTTGCTGTAAGAATAGAATATGATTTTCTCCATTCATTGAGTCGAATTATTTGTATTTAGTTTCAATTTCTTGTATTGTATATATCGGCTTCTTTGACGGTAAGCAACATTTTTTAGATGACCCCCATGAGAAAGGGTCCATTACCATATTATCAGGACTCTGGACTATTCTAATTTGCTTTCCACCTGATAGTTTATCGTTGCATTAGTCCATTACGGGTAATTCTTTCAAAAGGTTTTCCGTGCTATTTCCCGAAGGTAGTGAAGGTAGCTTCATCAGTCCGAAGAAAAATTTTGAATTAGTCAGGATCTCTGTCCTGACTGTCCTGCTCTCTTATTCATATGTGCAACAAATTGAAATCGCAGTTCTTTCTGGTCAGTCGTCGATAGTTACATTTTGCATTGGACGAATTGGTTCACAGGGTGTTTTCAATATTATAGTAGGCTTAGTCAAGACAACAGCTTCCTTATCCCCTTTCTAAACCCCCCGTAACAAAATTGAAGAAAACACCGCTGCTGAAGGGTGATTCTTATTTGTACCTACTCAAATATAGATATCTTCCAGAAGGGAGAATATCGCATCAGATGTTCCACTGCCACACTGGAAGCCAAATTGATTATCGGAGATGTACCTGTTTAGATTGAGGATTAAAAGAACTGTAATTTTGACCAGTTTCTCAATCAGCTTACCAAATGAAGGAAGAAGAGAAATAGGACGGAAATTTACTGGAGAGTCCAGCCTCCCCCATTGTGAAGAGGTACATACAATCACTGCATACTTAAGGATATTAGGAAATATGCCCTTGACATTTATTGCATCTCCAAGCGCATGAAACCCCCTATCATTCAGGTGGAGTAATAGTTTAATAGATAAGTCATCATAGCTCGACTCTCGAGGAATATCCGTTTTTGAAGATTAAAAATTTTATTATAAATACTGACTTCAGGAATCGACTGATGCCGAGAAGAAAAATGTTTCAAACTTTAAATTGCTTAACGGGAAATTGTGTTCTATTGTGTTTAGCCAAATATCCTCATCTATAGGTAGTTTCTCGTGAGTTTTCTCCCACGTTTATAAATTAAGGTATAACAAAATGCAATCTGAAACCTTCTTTCCAGTGAATTCCTACCTATTTAATTTTCAATAAAAAACCATAGTTGAACCAAATACAAACGGCAGTAATGACATCAAATAACCCAAATTGAAAACAAGCACCAGCTGATAATCCAGCCTTCCTATTGGTTGAAACGCCCTATGCCTGGACCAGTGCGCATGCACGGAGGACATTTGATAGGTTTTAATGAAAATTACCTTACCAGCATAATTACCAGTTATGTCGTTACTGCCGCTTGGATCGCTTGGATTTGGTTCAAGTATAGATTTTTAAATGTCATTGTAACTTGTACGATTTTCCGTCAATTTTAATCTGTGATACTCCACAGGAAATGTCAGTTGGTGGCTCCCTACATTAGAACGCCAGTGGTCACCGGATGTCACACCTGTTTTTGCCATAAGCTTCACCCCTCTATGCTTCACCCCCTCCCCTCGCTCCTCATACCGAAAGTGTCAGATTAAAAACGACTTTAAATATTTATATTTTTTACCTTTCCACACGAGACTGGAATAAATAATTATTTTACCTGTTTTATCCTCGATTTTACCTTATTATCTTTTTTCTTTAATACTCACCATTTTTAATTTACCGGTATTATTGTCAAGAAAATACGACGAGTCGAAATAATATGAAACAAAAAGTAACTATTTCCATTAAAAGGAATACAGATATGTGTGACAACTCTTTTGTTTCAAGTTGACTCGTTTTCAAAATTGCTTTCTTATGCCGGGTCCAGACCAAGCAGACAAAAAGTAATTCTGGGACAAAAACACGACAAAATTGCGACAAAAACCAGGTAGGTATTCAAAACAACACAAAATTGAAACAAACTGCCTCCATAGCACGAGGACAAAAGTGAAGCAAAGTTCAGTTTTTTAATTTTCTTCTTTCTCTCGTATTCCTTTATTTTCTTTTCAACATCATTCGCTGAGTTTGCTATGCTATACAAATTTCCTTTAATACGACAGCTTTCTTGTCACTACTGCCGTTGATTCTACTACACATTAAACGCAACATAACTAAATTAATGTGATTCCTATGATGTTTTCCTCCTACTTTTGTTAACAAACACCGTCCATATTGCACCGACAAGTTGTAAAATACCTACACAGACAAAGCAGAGACTCTTTGCGCTTTAAATATCAAATCCGACTCGAAACGAGACTTGCAAAAGTCTGGATTTGGAAACAAAACAAAAATGAGACAAAAATGTCGCAGAGATGTATTGGATTTGTCGCGAAACATCTTTGACCTGTCATTGATTTGTTTGCTTGGTCTGGACCCGGCATTAGTTTCTACGAAAAAAAAAATATGTCTAAGCGGCGTTTCCACATGCATAGTTTATTGGTGCCAGTCGACTGGCGCAACTTTTCTGGCGCGTGGAAACTCGGAAAATTAACTGGCACCAGTTAACTGGCGCCACTTTATCCATGCGCCAGTAAAGTAGAATAGAGGTCTACTTTTTGGCCACAGAACCGCCAGTTTGTCATGTGCACCAGTTTGTCAAAAAAAATACAAACGCTTTCACTAGTTGTCTTCAGAAAAATAATGGAAATGAATTTAAAAAATGGATCATATTATAAAGTTTTTGGAAGTTTATGAAGAGCATTTCTGTTTGTGGAATCTTTTGTGTTACAAAGACAGGAATAAACGGGGTGCTGCTATAGCAGCATCTCCTTATAAGAAGTGTTGAGGTAATGCCCGAAGTTCGGGCTCGTAAGTGGTTTTGATATAACCACTGCTAAAAGTAAAATAAGAAGCAGTAGAAATGCTTCATGGTCTTCATCCGCTAACTCAGGCAGTAAATTATTTGATGTTCATAGAGCTTTCCTGTGTTTACCTCTTTTTCTCTTGTTTTTGCGTATCTTCTGCAATTCTAGTAACAACATTACTACAACATTAAAACCTGCTTGAACCTCTTCAGTTGACGCCATTTTTCTTCTGCGCCAGTTGAAAGTTTCTGTTATGAAGTGGAAACAGATACTGGCGCCACTATTATTACGCCAGCAAACTGGCACGTGTACTGGTGCCAATAAATTATGCTTGTGGAAGCGCCGCTTAAGCGGCGTTTCCACACGCATAGTTTATTGGCGCTAGTGCATGTGCCAGTTTGTTGGCGTAATAATAGTGGCGCCAGTATCTGTTTCCACTTGATATCAAAAACTTTTACCTGGCGCAGTAGAAAAATTGAAAATGGCGTCAACTTAAATGGTTCAAGCAGGTATTAATGTTGCTGTGGATATTTTGTTTCTAGAATTATTTCAGAAGACCCGAAAAAACAAGAAGAAGAGACATAAACCCAAGATGGATTTCACGTAGAAAAGCTCTAGGAGCATCAAATAGTTTACTGTCTGAGTTACCGGATGAAGACCATGAAGAATTTCCAAACCTTTCTTATTTTGCTTTTAGCAGCAGTGATATCAAAGCCACTTAAGAAAGCGAGAACCCGCACAATACGTCAAAACTTATCCTTATAGCATCATGCGGTTTTTCCTGTCTTTCTAGCACATAAGTTTGTGATTCCACAAACAGGGATGCTCTTCTATAAACTTATAATATGTTCAACTTTTTGGAAACCACTAGTGAAAACGTTTGTATTTTTTCTTTTCTACATAAAAAATTTGAAAGCATTGACAATTTTACATTGTATTGCCAACATAATGTCATTTTGACTTTTATCTTTAAAAAAAAAAAAAGATTTTATGACTATTTCACTAGAGTGTTTTACACTGGCAAAATGTCATAGGAACGGCCGGTTTCCTACTGACAAAACTCCTACCTGTTCCTAATCTTACCTGGACAAAACCAACATGATGGTTTTTCATCGACAAAATTTTGTGTGGTTAATGTAAAAAACTATTGAGATTGACAAGTGTCACCTAAAGAAAATAAATTTTCCAAATGAAAATTTGGCTTGTTTCTCTCGTGAAATAGTCCAGCCGAATACCACTCAAGAAAAAATTATGTAGGCAAAATTATTCTCTTGGTTTTATTCAAGTTTGTTGCTTTTTGGTAATTTCGCTCATGAATTTTCAAAAATGTCATTCGTGCCAAGCACAGATTAACCCGACCAGTCGAAAATTTTGCCAACAAATTTTTTTATTTGCAATCATATATGTAATCTTGACATTACTGATTTTTAAAAATTTGGAAGTGTCACTTTACCTGTGTCACTTCCCTCTTCGATTTCCCTCACCGATTTCCCTATTCGACTTCCCTCGCCGATTTCCCTCACTGTAATTTATTTATCTTTGCTGGCAACAATGAGAACATGTCAGGTAAAAACGTCAAAACAGTGAATGACAAATTTTGGCATGTCTGTTTTATTTTTTTAATATTAAAAAAACTGAATGACTAATCATAATTAATGGTGTGCTTGCAAATAAAATAGTATACAAACCTCAAAGGAAAGTTTTCATTTCTGTCTCGAGATTAATAGTCAATCTCGACGCTCCGCGTCTCGATTGACTATATAAATCTCTCGACAGTAATGAAACACTTCCCTACTCGGTATGTAATATACTATTTTTCTACTACCGTGCGTAAAGTACTCACTTTACGCACTATTCAGAAGACGTAAAATTTCACTTCACGCACTAGTGCGTAAAGTAATTCAATTCACACACTAGTGCGTAAAGTAATGTCAATGACAGATGTCGACACTGTCAATTTGGCATTTTTCAGGTGAATCACTTCACGCACTAGTGCGTAAAGTATTTGACAAAATTTATTTTTTTAGACATATTTGATTAATAGTAGAAAAAAATTTGTATACAATACGTGCGTAAAGCACCTTTTTTCACTCATGTGATTGTCCAAAACTCACATTCGTGAAAAAAGGTTCACTTTACACACTTTGTTGCATAAATAACTATTCTCTTGTGGTATTATATGTATATGAAAAAAATACATAAAATGGCTACCTATTTTGGATTTTCTTAAAAATACAGGGAAGTCAAAATTTTGCCTCTGCTCAGTAGGTACTAAGGTACTCGACTCGTTCGATGAACCCTGGAATACTTTCCTGGTGATAAACTGTTAGCTACGACCGAATAATCGGGGATAATACCACAAGAGCTTCAAAATTACCGATAATTTTTCACGATTGCGTGCAGAGAAAACACGCATGAATGAAAAATTATCTGGTCCATTTTAAAGCTCGAATGGTATTTAGAGGATTATTTCACGTATGAGAATGCAAAAAATATGTAAATAAATATTTATTAAACGATTTGAACATCTTAACAATCAATACAAATAAATGGTTTCTATAAGGAACCGTTTGTTTGTATCAAAAATTAACATGACAACCATGTATTAAATAACATGGGAAAATTATCGCTGTAATTCTCTCTTATTAAATTAATGGAAAAAAGAATTTTCGCTGTAATTTTGAAAATGGTCACTTGTCTTATGGGTTTTCTAGCACATGAGTGGAATAATCTGGCATATTCATTTCTACAAATAAATTATCGTATATTGCGCCAGGTGTGTGTTTTATAGAAGCAGAATATAGAATATTTAAGAAGAAATCCTTCCTAATATTATGTCGACGCAAAGTTGGAGAAGTGACTGAAAAAGTTTTCCAGAAGAAAATTTTAAAGACATACTTAAATGGAAGATTTCAGCAGTGAAGACAACAATTAGGAAGCAAATAGAACTTTTTTTACCATTGGAAAGAAATGTAATTTATTTTTGTTGAATTAAAGTCTGCCTGGCTTTTTTTAACACTCAACTTCAACAGCAAGAAGTATACCTATACCATTATATGTAATAAAAGTGTCGGCCCTGGGCCCTATTAGAAGTTTTGAAATATTTTTCACAAGCCACAGTGGTCACAAGAGCGGGCACAGTTTCTAAAATCTTTACAAATGATTTTTTTCAGAACCAGAACCCAAGATATATACCTATTCGCCATTATAGGGACAGAGCGGACAATTACTGATAAAAAATAGCTCGAATTTGACTGTTTGCTAGGTCGTAACTGGTGTCCGCCGTGACTGTTGTGGCGTGACGCAACTATAGCTCGTCGGTCACCGATGTCCGCCCGACTCCGCCCTGGCGCTAAATGTGTTGAAAAATCTTACCGACATCTCCGGTGGAAAACTTATCGTTCGCCTGGAAAATCTGTTCGGGATTGCCCCAATAAGCCACATTGATGTAATGGGGCACCGAATCTCGAATGGTGAAGTTCCAAACGGCTCGCTGGCCCCCGGTATCGGGACCTCGCTGTTGAGTTTCCAAGATTTTCGGTCGATTTTTGCCGATTATTATGCCCACTATCAGCACATTGGTAACGTGCGGATCCAAATGCTTTAAGTCGACTTTTTGTAGCGACACGGCATTGTAATCTGGCTGAATTTGATTCATTTTTACTCCAGAGAAAAATGCGGACATGAAATATTAACACGTGGTTTTTCGAAACAAGATGGCCGTCGATTTTTTTTTCTTTTTTTTAGTTGGTAGCCCTGTGTATCCCATGGCCAACTTGGCTAAAAGTTCAATGTTATCATTTTTTTTTTTTTTAATTTCGATTAATTTTCGGTTAATTAAAAGCTATTTTCATTAAAAAAACGCATTATTTAGGTATATTGTTTTATTTTTCATTTCTACTTTAAAAATCCGAAAGGGCAATAGCCACGATTGAGAGAGCGCGAGCCCCTCCGATAAATCTTCTTCGAGCCACTGACAAGACAACAATCAATTCCTAAACCCTAACCTCACTTTTTTAAAATGTTTTGTTTATATTTACATTATTAATTTTACAATAAATAATCAAGCCTGATTACCGTAATTACTGTGGAATATTGATAAAACTCAAAAAACATACATAAATACATATTTATTTATTGTTTCAAATCTTCATAATTGATGGTAAGTGATGTTATAATTGAATAATTTGTAACGCATATGAAAAGTGCTGTTTTCAACACTTGTTGCTCAACATACTATTCCATATCATTAAGGGCGGGTTAAAGTTAACTTTTGGAATAACATGTAATTCAAAAAGTTAACTTTAAGTTAACTGTGAGAGCAGTTTATAATACCCGCCCTATGTCTGATAAGTGTACTGTCTTTTCTTGTGAGTTTCACCATTGTATGTTTTACAGACCTGCGGGAAATATTCAGCCAATGTTCAATATTGAATTGAAACATTTAGAATTTCGGGTGTTTCACTTTCGGTTTCTCGTTTATATTTTCATTGCTTTTTTGCGTTGTATAGTTCCTTAGATATTTTCCGCCACACGCAATATTCCAGCTCTGTCTTCTATAATGTTTCCTTGTTTGTCCATTAGCTTTGCAATTTCTCTTTTGTGAGAGTTCTCCCTTTTAAATACGTTCAAGCCTTTTTGTTGCTCTATCATTTTTTTGATTTGTGCTTCTTGGTAGTTTTTATTGTCTTGTTTGGTCATTCTGTTTCTCTACTAAATTTTTCTGGCCTACCCTTTGGTTTCATGATATTTTTTGCAGTTTCTCACATTGCTTTCGTTATTCTTTTATTAATTTGATTTATGTCTTCGTGGGGTTTTATGGGTTCTTTTTCCAGTTTTTGAGTTAATTTTGTTACAAATTCTTTGTCTTTTACTGGTCTTATGTGTGCAGTTGAATTTCTTTGTTCTTTCTAATCTGTCATTTATGACAACTTTATATACATCTTACCATTCTATGATCTCTACCCGTCCTGAATAAGTCTAAGATGTCTACACCTTGGATTAGAAGTTTTTGATGTGTCAGTATAAGGTCTATCTTGTTTTTTGTCTTTCCATCTAGGCTTACCCATGTCGATTTTTGGTTAAGTCTCTTTTTGAAGAATGTGTTCATCACAAAAGAATTGCTGTCTTTCTAAGAAGTTGATTAGCATGTTGCCCCTTTCATTTCTTGTAACAGGTCCAAATTTGCCAATATAAGATGAGTCAGTGTATCTTGGCCTATTTTTGCATTTAAATCCCCAATAAATACTGTGTACTTTGTTTTGTTCTTGTGCAGACCCTGTGTTATCTCTTCGTAAAGTTTCTACCTCTTGGTCCTTGTGGTTGGTTGTTGGTGCGTAAATTTGGATGACTTTGTTGTATTCTTGTTGATTTTCAATGTTATGTATAGTACACTGTCAGATTTGTTCAAGAGTATTTGTAGGTAGGTATGGGATCTCATATGGGACCATTCGTTTGTGTATCAGCATTCCAACTTCTCCATTACTGCTATTACCATCACATTTCGCAGAGTAGGTAGTAAGTCTTAGGCATTCTTCTCCTCTTCTTCTGACTTCTACCAGCCCTACTATGTCCCAATTTATTCCATCGATTCATAATTTAGTTCCTCTAAATTTTTTTTATTTTTCAAGATTTATGTGTTGTTGTATGTTCCGATGTAGTTGGCAGCCTGGTCCACTCCAGGAATTCTTAGCACCCTATGTTCAGTCGCTGGTCTATTCGCTTAGTGAAGTAGATTCGCATCTATCAAAGGATTTGCATAGATTTTGCAATCATCTGCAAACAATTTAACAGTTGATTGGATTAGTTCCACCAAATCAAAAAGATACGTTGAGAACAGCACCGGACTGATCACTGAACCCTGCACGATGCCACTGGTAACCCTATGGGGACTGGAAAGTTCTCCATTAACTCTCACTTGGAAAAAATTTATCTTCTAGCAGATCCTTGATTAAGGCCAGCAACTTTCCTCTAACTCCAAAGTGCTCTAATTTCACTAATAGCAGGTTATGTGGGACTTTGTCGAATGCTTTTTCATAATTCTAGATGGATAACATCTGTTTGTAAGTCATTGTCATGGTTGTTTGTCCAATCATCTAGACATTCCAAAAGATTGGTAGTAGTAGAACGTTTTGGTAGAAATCCATGTTGGGCAGAAGGTATGAGATTGTTTTGGTCTATGTCGATCACTTTTTTTGTAAATTGGCGTGACAATGGAATATTTTCAAGATACTGGAATTTTTATCTGAAGCATACATTCCTGCATTACCCCCGCAAGAAATGGGCACTACAGTGCTGATGAAAAACTGTTGGGATTCCATCAGGTCCTGGGCTTGAGTCTTTTTTCATACATTTCAGAGCTTGTTCTACAAAAGTTGTAAATTGGATTTCTTTGATGGACCTCTCCACTCTATTATCATACTGGACTGGAGCCGCATAAGCTTCAGTTGTAAAAGCTGTGTCAAATTGCTCTGTTTCAAGTTTCGACTTATATACTTAAACAGTTTTTTTGGTAAATCCGCATTCGCAAGACCATTTTCATACTTTCGCCGGGCATCAGGCAACTTCTGCTTAGTTTTGTTTGTTACTCTGTAACATTTAAGCTTGAGAATTTCATACATCTGTCAAAACTGGTATTCCAACAATAAATTGACATGTTTTGATTGTTGATTTAATCCAATCAGATTGGAATTACGTGATAATTTGCATTAGTGCAAATTATCAGATAATTGCATAGTAACTGGTGTGAAAACTGGTGTTTTGACATTTTTTGACAAAAAATTTAAATTTTTGATTTATGAAATTCTCTTATCAAATACAACTCGTGCAATGAAAATATATTTATAATTTTCGACAAATTTGCACTCATGCGTTTTTAACTGAAAAAGGCACTCGTGCACTACGTGCACTTGTGCTCTTTTTCTACTAAAAATGCATTCGTGCAAATTTCCCAAAAATTATCAATAATTTCCATTGCACTAGTTATATTACTATTGATAATTGTTTAGTGTTTTATTCGTTTCATAGTTATCTCAAAATCTACGTTTCTTATCTATTTTCCTGAATAAATACTGGTTTATCCACGGTTTTTTTGGGTTAGTTTTTACTGGCTTGACCGGTATGTATTTTTCCACTGCATCTTTCATAACACACTGGAAGTTCTCGAATTGTGGATCTACTTGTCTTGTTGTTTGGAGTCTGATGAAGTTATTTATTTCCTCATAATTGGCAGTTAGAAAAATTCTTCTAGTTATTTTTTGGGTTTGTTGAGGTGGAATTTTTAAATGTGTTTTCGCCTTAATCACAAGATCATTGCGGCCAATGGGAGGTTCTGTAGAAAGATCAAAGATGCTTTTAGGATCATTGGTGAGGAAAAGGTTCAGAAGTTATATCTAATTATTCCTGTACCTTGTTGGAAAATTTACAATTTGTTGCACATTTCATGCACATTTGTTTAAAGATACATGTCCATAAAATTTTGTGTTTTTTTATCTAGAGCTGCAATTATGGTTTTCCCAATTTATGTTTGGGTAGTGAAGTCTCTCACAATATAAATGGGGTGGTTTCAGGTGTAGGCCTTTTTTTTATAGTATTTGTCATAAGTCTATTTGGCTTCCTCGCTGGTCGTAGTAGTACCTGGCCTATAAATGCATGCAAGGGATATTTTTATACTTCCTATTTGGACATCTAACCAAACTGCATCAATTGGTGCTTCCATCCTGTAATTGCTGGAGATCCTACAATTTATATTATTTCCACCTATTGACTGCTTTGCAGCCAAGAAATTTTCTTTCTCTCTACAATAAAGCATATTTTGATTTGAAAACCCCTATAAAAGTTGACAAAACTGGTATTAGAAGAGATTGGGAGTATACTCTTTCAAACCCAAAACTGAGAACATCTTTAAACAACCATGAACGAATTTTGTTCTCCTGTATTGAAACTTTTCTACTGTCATCTGCCTCATTGCCTTTTTTTGATCCAATAATATCTGATTTCTATGACCCTCATTATTTCCTTCTCTTGTATCAACACAATTAATTTATCTTAATAAATACATACTTCATTAATTCAGTTTTTTTTATTTCCCAGTTCCCTTAATATACAATGATGACAGACAGCTTGAATTTCAAATTGGGCAATCCAGGAGCAGTGCAATTTGGAAATTTCATAAATTATTACCAATTTCACCCTCCAAGCAATAGAATTGCTATGCTGCCTACAGATATTTGGCATTCTGTCATGAAACCAAATGAAAAGTGCTACATTTTAGACGTTGGATGTAATGCTGGGGTAAGAATGGCTACATTTTATATAACCTGTTTCTAATTAATTTTTTTTTTAGGATTTAACAATTGAAGTCTACAACTTTTTAAGAGCAAACATTTCATCATCAAACTGCAAAGTCTTAGGAATAGACATTGACCCAACATTAATCAAAAGGGCTTCTGAAAAAAATTCTATAGAAAATATAACTTTCAAATGCTTAGACATTATGACTGAACCAGAGGCTAACTACTTAACAAATTCCAATAATAAATTTGATATTATATTTTGTTTCTCCATTACAATGTGGATACATCTTAACCATGGCGATGAAGGTCTGAAAAAGTTCCTGAAAAAAGTTTCAAACCTAACAAACATGCTTGTAATAGAGCCTCAGCCCTGGAAATGCTATAAAACAGCAGTGAAACGGTTCAATAAAGGATTTCCTCAATTTGAAAATTTAAAAATTAGACAAAATGTTGAAGAAGAAATTGAAAAATATATTTTGAATTGTTGTGACATGGGAAAGTTGGGGGAAAGTGATAGGACTGAGTGGGGAAGAAAGCTATTGTTTTTTCAAAGACAGAAGTAGGTTTATGGCGTATATATTTATGTATTTTTTTAATAAAAATGTTTGTTTTATTTTGGGATTTGTTTTTCTGAGGTGCTTTTTAAAGTATAGATCTCTCCAATTTGGAACAATCATACTCTTTTCTGCAACTTAAACTTCCAGGAAGACATGTTATTATGTCTTCCAAATTCTAGATTATCGTTATAGGAAGAGGAGAGAGTTAAATTTCAAACTGGCTAAAAACAAGTATGTATATTTCTCTTTTTTGGAGTCACATCTAAGGTAGGAGTTGTATTTTTGATTGAGGTCTAAATTCTGGTACCCTTTTTTGTATAAATCCTCGTAATCGCTGTAAGAATCTTTGCCAAACTGCTTTGGTTCCTAATTACTAATTGGCTTCAATTGAAGCCCAATTACGTTAAGATCGGATTGAAATTAATAAAGTGACGCAAAATGTATGTTAGTGTCATTCTCCTGATAAAATCTTAGTCAAAAGACTTTGAAGCTTTGCAGTCGCAAAACTATTGAAGCTGAATAAATAAATGATAGATCACAACAGACGAGAAAGGGATATTTAAATAATAAAGGGATTAACGGGAAGCAATAAAATATCTATAACAATTTTTTCAACCACTATAAATAATAATAAAATGAAAATAAATTCAACCCCTAGATTTATCTCAATTTTTTGGTGTATGGAAAAGAGCACAATTAGCATGGATGATATGATGAGAAATTGTTATTGTTGTCCATAAAGGAAACACACCAAAATATTATGTTTTAGGTCAAAGTTAAAATATGAAATTTATTTTAAAAAAATAGGTACCTTGGTTTGTTCGGACTTAGTTCAGAATCAGTTCTGAATTGCACTGCGCATGCGCATTTGTTTATAAATGTTCGATATGAACAAATCTGCAAGCGCAGTTCAGTTCAGAACTGATTCTAAACTAAGTCCGAACAAACCTAATATGTATGTGTATATTGTAGAGGTATATCTATTAAATTACAGGCGTGCTGTCTCGTGATAGTGGTCTATTTCAGCTAATCCGAGGAGGTGAAAATACATTTTATTATTTTTTACTGTCACTGATTTTCGAAAAAAATACAGCACGCCACTGACCAGAGTATTTTACATGCGTAGATTGCCAGGGGTTTTTGAAGATTTGGCTCCCACCCGCTATGCTAAAATAATAGAGAGATATCGGTAATTTTCTCATGCAGTGCGTTATTTTCGAATATTTATTTTTTTCCTTTATATTGACATTCGCAGTATAACTACAGGCATACTACAGGTTTTGTTTTTGATTAGGTCATTTATGTTGTCATTCTATGATGTCTATAGTTGAATTCATAGGTTGAATTAATAAAATATTTGTTGAAAAAATCGACATCGTTTACATCATTTTCTATATCTGAATTCCTTTTACCCAATAAAAAATAATGATCCTGCCCAGCTTGTGTTTTTGTACTTATATGCCTATGAGATGCTGCTGGAAAGTGTTTTGGAACATTCTAAATGGCTTACCTATTGAAGTTCTTAAGTGTTCTAACTTGGCTTGAAGAGTTCTGGAGCATTTTAGAAGTTTTTCAGTAATTTCTAAATTGTTCTGACAGATTTTTAAGTATTTAGAGCCCTACATTGAAGCTCCAAAAGTGTTTCAAATTGGTTCAAAAGAGTCTAAAAGGTTTCCAGTTCTAAATTTAATCTCAATTGTTCTGAAATAACTCTTTCTAAATTGTTCCAAAATGTTTTGGATGCTTACGTAGACTAGATGCTTATTTAACGGTTTGAAGTTCTGAAAGACGTTTTGTAATTTTTAACCTGAATCCTCAGATTCTGTCGTTTTTCAAAATGTTTCAAAAGCTTTTAGAGTGTTTAAGTGTTTCGGAGCGTCCTAAAACGGGTTTCATACTGCTGAATGGGGAACTTGCACATTAAATTAAATATGAAATTAATAATAAAATACAATAACAATCATCCTAATAAAGGATGCAATTAGGAAAAGGATATAATATCTTATCTCTGGTTTTCAAAATCTTCAATTGAAAATACCAAATAATTCGAAATTCTTGACGAGATCAAAAACGTATTTCTATGGGTCCTGACGTCAAAGGGCAGTAATAATCGGGTCGCACTACAGGGTCGCACCGCTGCCACGCCATGTGCTGCTGGTGTTGTCAATGTCAAATCTATCATAAACGGCATACATAACCATAATCTAAATCTACCTGAGTGACGTCACACTAATCGGTCGTTTCAAATGGCGATGTTTCGAGCGTAACTTCAAATATTTATAAAAAATTATCGGCTGATTTGCTTGATATTTGGCATGACTATGTCTTTAGTGTAGTGCAACACATTTTTGAAATAAAAAAAAATTTGCAAGTTCCCTATTGTTCTAAAATGCTTTTGGAAATCGTAAATCGGGTTTTGAATGTTTTGCAGCATTCTAAAAAATGGTTCTGAAGTTTCCAAATTGTTCTGAAGCGTTACAGAATACTTTTGGAAATTCTGAATTGAATTTCAAGTGTTTTGAACTTTCCTAAAAAGTCCACAAACGATATTCTAGACGTTTTTAGACGTCTACCTGCGTGTTCAAGGCATTTTAAAGTCATCTCAAAAACGTCGTATGGGGTACAGAGCCCAACGTCGTTCAAACCTCTGATGCCTGAAATCGTGTCGGCGCGGTGAAATTTTTCCAAGACATATAAACACGATGTCTCTGTGTCAAAGACGTCTTCGAATCTCTTTTTAATACGCATAAAGCCATAATTCACTTTTAAGCCTGGTTGAATTAAATAGTGTGGCTCAGTTATCTTTAAGATGTGAATTTACGACATCTTATGGACGTCTTCTATTTTTATAGACGTATTATTTTGGTATCCAGACCTCATTAATTTTAATCTTATTTATTATTCTTATTCTTTATAATGTACCAGAATTCTATTACTTTCTTTTCTCATTAAACTTACTAAAGGTTTGTAATCTGTGTGAATTAAATGGATTTCCTGCCTGATCCTGATGTAGATGTTTTTACAAGAAAACAAAATTGCTAATTTTTTTTTGTATCTAACCAAAATATCTAATTTCAGTTTTTGGTTAATGACCTTGTATTGATACCAATACGCTATGGCAGTTTGTATAACTATATCTTTATTTTACTGTCAACCAGCTACTTAGGAAAAGGAGGGCGCGGTAGGTATTCAACCTTATCCATTTAATTGCCGATTCATTTGGATGTTCATTGCAATTCAGCAATAAATTCATATAAATAGTGGGCCAAGCCGAGCAACAGACAGACTTGAAACAGTGTTAGTACAGCCGCCCTGGGAACACCCCTCTGGGAAACTGCATCGACATCTAGTGCAAGTACCGTTACCCTTGGAAAGCCCCTACTAGATGAGGATCAGTTAAACGACAATTAGCATTCAACGTATAATAACATTAACATTAAACCATTCCTAAGAAGCATCAAATGTGTGGCCCTATCCACGGAAGAGCATGCGTTCTGGAGGATTCGTGTAATGACTTCATAGCAAATATACATATTTTTATAATAACCTAAGCGAGTTTCCCTCCATCTACCCACCCTACAACCCTCGTCACAGAGAGGTTGTGACAATACTATCACAATCTTGTAATACCTAATACCTGCTAGCAATGCTTTTGTTAAAATACATATTTATAATATAAATGCCATACGTATGTATCACGATGAATTTAAACATTATTTGAATGAGAATAAATAGCAATAATAATAAAAACTGAAAACACTGAATGGCTTGAATCTGTTAAAGTATGTAATAGTTATTTATGTATCAAGAGAATTATGAGGGTGCTAATACCACAGGGCAAGGCCCGAGGGACACCAATTGCCCGTGGGTATTAACACCTCATAATTCCCGTGGTACATAGATGATTTTATTTCCTACTGAATTTACTGTATTTTGTCTTTTTTATAAAGAAATAAACCATAAACCAAAATTTCTATTTTTTGTCAAAGTTTCACCTATTCAAGGTAAAAGCGGGAGTTATGGAAATCCTTAACTCCCTTGGGAGTTATGATATCCTTAACTCCCTTGGGAGTTATGATATCCTCAACTCCCTTGGGAGTTATGATATCCTTAACTCCAAGGTATTATATGGTTTTAATAGTTCAGTAGGAAATAAAAATTGAAATACCGCCTGAGAGAACGGACATACAGTCGTTAATAATTTCGTTTACAAATTCACGATATCTCTCTAATAATTCGTTTCCATATAACATTAGATACACTAAATAGCTTTGCTTTGGTCAAAGTTTATTGGTGGTTTGGGGATTCCCCCGATTTATTTAAGTGAATGACTTGACTGCTTTAAAAGCGCGGCTCTATTTCTGTATTCTGTATGCAGCATCCAGCACTGACCCGACAGCTGTGTATGAAAGTAGTAGTGTTTTGTTCAGGCAGCCTTAAACTTTGAGAATACTGATTGTAAGTAAATTATCGTGAAATTTATTTTTCTAATATGATCATTTTCTATTAATTACAGCAAGCTGTGAGCTAAGCGATTAGACCGGGCCACCATTTTTGAAAAGCTTATCAATGATGGCCACCACCACCGTAACCAAAACAGCTTTATTTACCATCTTGCTGTTTTACATGTGCAGCACGACCACCTCAGCCGAAGATGGACTTGCTGCAGCGGAAGTTCCCTATATTGCATATCCTGGATATGCAAATTGTGCAGCAGTTGCAGTGGCTTGTTTTGCAGCTGCTGGATTTACTTTCGGAACTGTTCCAGGAGCTGTTATAGCAGCTACGCCAGCATTAGCTGCCTGTAACGCAGCTTTTGCAGTATGCGAAGCTGCCTATATGGCTGCTTTATTCATACCAACATCCTAAACATTTCAATACCCTAGAGACCTAACTACTACTATTTCGTAGTAGTTAGGTTTATGTCAATACCTACCTACTTATTATACCTAATGAATTAACCATCAATTGAATTGTGAATTTAAAGGAATAAATACATTAATATATTGTATTGTAGGTACTTGTTTGTGTTTCATTTTTTTTTTTTTTTTCATTCAAA